GATTACTGTATCTAGAGTGGTGTACCTTCCAGTCACTGTGCAAACCTTGTAACACGGCGGCATCCGACGATTAGCCGAAACAGCTTCCGAAGGAACTTCTGGCCGCCCATGCCAGTATGCACGGCGGAGTATGCATGTTCCCATTATTCAAGAGTGGCGAAGCCTGAATTTTGCAATAATTATGTGACAATGGACGGCTGTTGTACTGCCAACGGTGATGAATCATGGTCACACGGTGTAGTTGCAACTTGGCGCAGGCGCCCGGGCCCATGTGTTAGCCGCGCACGTGACGGGAGATGCCTGACAAGCGGTCACAAGTTCGTTGAAATTGAACTTGAACACGGCGACGTTGTCTGAGAGTCAGAACGGCAGCAAGATGTCGTCTCTGCCTGAGCCCCTTTCTTTCTCCGCTGCTGTTGGATTGGTTGCAACAATTGTCGCATATTCCGTTCTCGCAGGAAGCAGTTCCGACTCGATTCACGCTACGCGGGCAAGGATACGAAGGATGGTATGTATAGTTGGTTGGTCTTCGTGGTCGAAGACGTTTCTTCTGATCAATTTTTACAGCTTCCCAACACTTTGCATGGCTGGCGAGTACATGCCGGAGGAGATAGCGACGAGCATACGCAGTGGGAAGCCTTGCGCGGTGTGTTTGCAGACCACGGATATACGCTATGGGAAACAAGTTCCACGTTCTTCCTCGTGAGTCCCGGAGAGAGTTTCGAGGCTGCTCAGAATGGATATGAGTACGTGACACCCTTCCGAGACCCTAACATGGGAGGCGGCATGATAGATCTCTATGGCTTCATGTTCATGGTACGTACACCGGGTCCAGTCTAAGTCGCGAAGCATGGAGTCTATAATTGATGTGTATAAACTTCCAGAACCACTCGTGCTATGCAGCGACTGCCACGGATGGCCGAATTGTCATCCTTCGAGTGTTGAAGATCGGCGAAGAAGGCCGACAACATCTAGATCTTCTTAGATACCTCGCTCGAGCACCTCCAGCCCTGTTCAGCACCAATCACACTCTACCGCTACTTCAAGAGATTGAATTTGAAGATATAACGTTTGGCGTGTTCCCACGTGTTGGGCAAGGGATGACAGACGCGTATCATTTCTGGGCGAAGAATTCCGTTGGTGACCTGATTGAGATGGTTTTGCAGATGCTTGAGGTGCGTCACTTAGAACACAATGCCTCATACCGTGATTCACTCGTACTCCAGGCTCTCGAGTTTATCCATGATCGCAGGATAGCCCATCGTGTATGAAACATCCACTCGACTTCATACGTCTCGAAAAACATATTGACAACCCTGTCTCTTTAAAGGACGCCTTCAAGGACAATTTTCTTATTCAATGGCAACCCGAGTCTATCACTGCTGGCTCCATAGGGGTTTCCAGGCCTCGTGTCTACTTGCATGACTTCGAGAGTGCCATACAATTTCCCGTCGACTGCCCCGTCGAGGAACAGGTCGTAGTAGGGATTCCAAGAGGATCGTGGCAGACATATGGACGTCCTTGCCCTCCCGAGATGGCTTCGGGCTCGCCATACAATCCGTACAAAGCGGACGTCTGGCAGCTTGGTAAGAGTTTGTCCGACGTGAAGGTATGTGCGCTGTTACGAGTGTTTGCTCAACGTTGACCCTGTCCAACAGACCACTATACCTGAGGTTGACGAATTGCTCGCTGCAATGACTGAGCCTGATCCTGACCGTCGAATGACCTCTACTGAGCTTCTGACGCGGCTCAGGGACATTTTTCAGTCCGCGCCTGTGACATCGTTCAACATCCCACTTACCATCATATCTCCCGATACGACCTCATCTGAACAGTCACACCCTGTTGGCAGTGCCGACAAGTGATGGTCTGTGATACACGTTCAATAACAGTTGTGACACGCATTTTTTGTTCCGTTGTGGATTGTGTAATCATTGGGGCGTGAATTATTAATTTGTTCATATTCACTGGAGATTTGACCAGCGTGCAAACTCCATCGGATCTTCAACCTCCTGCCTCTTACGGGTATTTGGAGATCTAGTACCGCATCAATCTTCTAGCATTTTTGAGTCCGAAGAACTACGAAAAGCTCTCTTTCCGTCGCTCTGGTTCAGGGCTATGGATTCGTCTTGCAAATACCTCATTCGGTCTCTTGGGACATCGCTCTCATCTTCATCAGTTCTCAGGGTGTTCTCCACGGCCGAACTGGACGCCGGCATAGAGCATAAAACCTGGAGCACCCAGGCATAATCGCAATCCCATCGACCTTTTTCCTCACTGCTCTTAACCCAGAAATCCCGTTACTTGTCATGGTGGGCCACCCGCTTGTCTCTCTTATTTCTTTGCGCAGACTCATCCACCTTGCTATGTCGTCCAGGCCGCCAATATTTCCCGCAAGTATCCTGTACGTCGCGCCGTCCAGCCCTGAGTACTCTACTATACTGATCGCCTACTTACAACTTGAAGAATGGTGTCTACAAGTTCACGCACGAAGGGCAGGTTTACTACGGTGAATTCTTCACCGTCATCGAGACGACCAGCGCACCTGGCGTATGTGTGATTTATACTAGCACACACTCCTACTATTGTCGCTCACGACCAACAGGAATGTCTTCAGCTGAAGTTCAAAGACCAGACTAAGTTCGTTGTTAAACCTGGGATGTGTCAGCACATGCCGGAGCTAGGGTAAGTTCTATACTATCTGCTTCAAACAGTCCATGACATTCTGGATCGCCACAGCGACGACTCTGTGTCTAGCACCAGTCCGAAGAAGGCCCCTAGGTCCTCTGCTAAATAACACGTCTAATCCAATCTGCTACTCACTAGACCACTGTGCAAGTAGCTTATGTACTACCACCTGCCACTGTCACCTTGTGCTTGAATATAAGATAACTCGTTGAATGACTGAAGTACGGACACCCTGCTACAATTACTTGTGCTTCTAAGCATCGAACGTTGAACGGCAGCGGCCGTAACGGTTCCTGGTTTACATGATCCTATTCATTGATTCAACTTGTGTGGCTTTCAAGAAACCTAGTGGAGAGGGTGCATCAACGTTCAACGGTCAACAAGTAGTCGGTAGCATGGACTACAGTATCATCTACGGCATTGTGGACCTTACGGTTGGAATACGCCTGCTCTGAGACGACTTGCGGCCACCGCTCAGAGTCATCTGAGTTAACAATCACTGTCCGTTCGACACTTCGAAAGGGCTGACTGTTGATCGACACCATATCAACTCGGCCGCTGCTACCTATGACATTTCACTGGCATATTCGGATGTCACTGCTGCTCTTCACCTCGGCGGCTGGTACATCCTGATCGACACATGTTTGTAAAGCGGAGACCCGGAAGACTCGCTTGGATCGACAATATCATGCTAATGATAGACTCATTGCTCATCTCAGTAGACTAGTAGTAGTTCGTGAGGTCATGCTTGGAAAGACTCCATGTAGGGTGACAACGAGTAACGGTACTAGTACTTATTCGGGCGCTGTTCTCCTTCCGCGATCATATCTAATAACGGTTCCCTATCGTATACAGATCATCAATCGTGAATCGCAGCCAAGAGGAACACAGCGCCGAGGATCCGAATATCGACCGTCCCTTGTTCGCCCGCCAAAGAGCTCACGAGGCCCAGGATGTCCATCCTCCACCGGACCAACCCCAGCCTCCGCCGGGCTGGTCCCAGCCCCCACCTGACAGGTGCCAGCCGCATCGATATATAACCCGAGCCAGTTGATGGACTGCTCTCTCCTCAGTACCACCATGTCGGCTCCCCTCTGCAGCACTCTTCTCTGTTCGCTTCGAGCTACGCTCTCAGACACACGTCTATATGGCTATAGATAGAGCGAGGGTGAAGACACAGTACACCTCATCGTCCGTCCCCGTTCATCCGAGGCGACGGACTGTAGCGGACATCCTCATCACTCAGGTGAGCTTTATATCCTGATGTTTTCCTCTCTATCACCACTCACATGGGTAATAGGGGGTCGTCCGGAACGATGCGCCGCTGTACACCACCGCAGCGTAATCGTCAAGTCCAAGTTTCCCCTAGACGGGAACCACGGCGTGCAGTTCCATTTACCCCACCACCGTCCTTCCTCATGATGTGGGCTGTATGTCATGGCTGGTACTCATACCACGTACGTCTCATGCTTGCTACGCACTCCCCATCCGGCCTGAGACCACTGCATTCCAGTACCACGAGCATACTCATCGCAGTGGCCAGCCGTCCCGTCGTGTATAAGCCCACCTGGTGGCATCCGACGTTCGCGTCGCGTACTGCTCAGGCTCCTACCGCTCCCAATAAGCCGTACCAATTGGGCGCAGGGGGTATGGTAGATGAGTCAACGCCTTTCTGGTAAAGTCACCTGTCGGGGATGGGTGACTCGGACTGTGCGGAGGGTGCGTGCCGCATTGCAAGGCTGAGCCTCCCGCTGGTGAGTGTTGTCGTTGGACATACATGTCGCAGAAGCTAACTGACCACACAGTGTGCGCCGGTATATCGTCCTCAAACTCGATAGCAACGTTGGATCCAGGATAGAGGTGCGTGATACCATGTACATAAGTGGCTGACAACCTTCCTCCTGTGCAGCACAGTCAGTACTATGAGGGGTCAAGGGAGTAGATTGGCGTTATTTACCTTGTAGTGTTGTAGATTAAGTCAGACAATATACAATTCCATCTTCAGCGCAGTTGAAGTTATGCGAGTTCCTAAGATTGGAGAAGCTTCTCAGTGAATGGACATTTCGTGTACAGCCTGAGACTTTGTCGTCCGACAACGTAGTTCCCACACTGCAGTAGTTATCAGCTTCAAGAGCAAAGAATTATTCCTTCTCTATGCGAAGCCCGGCCAGCCTGCCGCTTCTCGCATCCGCAGAATGACTGCGTTTCCGTTTCCAGCCAACTTGCGGACAAGGCAGTACTATGCTTTGTTACGTATGTTCAGGACCGCAAACCAATGGTGTGGAGGAAAACGAACGTAGGTTACTATCTGATACACTGAGCGGGAGTCGAACCCACGCCGCTTGCTAAACGGAACGGTGGAAGGCAAGCATGATACCGTTTCACCATCAGTGTATAACGAGGAGCGCGCTTATGTGCATTATCAGCTACATCAGGCTTCAATATCTTGCCTTATCACCGGCAGCTTCAACTAGTTGGTACTATACGCATACCTTGTCGATCGCCTTGTCGACTATCTCCATCCTCACCCGTCGGTGGTTATTTCCCTAGGCAGACGAATGGGGCGAACATACTGACGGGCTCTCCTTCAACCGTCAACTTCCGCAAATTGGAAACACAGTAAAGCAGCATTGTACGTCGTCAACTCAGTGATAAGATGCATTTGCACATGCAGGTCAACGTCGATGGTCCACGATAGAGTCACTGTTTGTCCTGAAGAGACAACTCATATGCATTGGAGTTCGCACCCATGTCCGTGACCCAAGCGCCACAAGAAAGTAATTGATGTCATGTCAACGACCTTGCCGACGTGTATCGGGCGACAGTGCGAGATTGACGGGCTGCCGTCAACAACGCGAACTTTCAGCTCACCGGTGGAACTAACATCAATGAAACACTTACATACTGCAAGGCACACGATCTCGCTAACGTCGCACATCCATCAATGTCAACCACTGCATAGGCGTCTGCGTCTCTCGCTTCGCCTTCGAATGTGGGCTTAGATATATCATATCGTCAAAAGAGCAAACTTTAGATGGTGCGCTGCCCACCGCTCATGAGATTCATGCTGTGGTACCAACACTGAAACCGCGCCCGTACAGCCTCTGTGAGGTCGTTGTCGTGGACCTGTCCATCTATGCGGCTTTGAGGTAATCTCACCTCGTTGCGATACTTGCAGTTTGCTAATATATACACCCGATGACATACCATTCCTTGTCACTCAGTTTCCGCCCTTGGCAGTTGACGAGATGGTGTTCGTCCACATCTTCGCATTTGCCTTCCTGCCCCTATCTGCTTGGGCTCTCGAAGCTTTCCCAAGCCAGCCCTGCCATTTCGGTGAATGTCATTGGAATATCGCGACCACCTATGGGTACGGAACGCACAGCATTGTAAGTACTGTGACGGCGGGCCTAGTTGATACAACTTTCGAGACTAACTTCCGAGCACTGCACGTAGTAGACAGGATCACATAGCGGTATATCTGACCTTACACCCGCCTCGGGATGGACAGCCCTCGATTGTGATGAATCTGGGAAGAATCAAGAAATTCGAATAGCTTGCCATGACCCTGATTTAGTCTGCAATCATATGTACTTGAATGGCGCAGAGCAGACTGTCGTTCGACTATCGGCAGAGGCACGTCTCCTCTCTCTCCTTATCATACTCTCATGATGACGACTTTGCCTCTTACTCGTAGTGCGGCTCCAGGCCATTCGCGACTGTGAGACGTGATTGGGAGCATGCAGTGGACTAGAGCATTCCCCCGAGCAAGTGGTCGCTACTCACACGTCGGGATGGCTCGACACCGATTGTGAAAGGTATCAGTCTGACGACGTACCATTCCGTGATTGACTTGAGGTATGTACCAGTAGTCTGTACGGTAATCAAATCCTCACACATGGGCAGGCACGGGAACGTATAATTTTCCGTTCGAATGGCCACATCCCCGGATGCTCTCAACATACTTCCTGTCTCTCATATTGACGGTACTGATCATATCTTCAACGAGCACTCCGTCCGAAGCTCGCTTCTGAGTCAGTATATTGCACAAACCGCACCTTTCCGTTCTCCCGTAGCTGACATGGGAACTGCGTAGATACTCTCAACGAGACAAATCACATTGACACAAATAGCACCAGTGGCCCTAAGCCTTTCCATCTCATCACCGATGATGTATCCCTCTTCAGTCGAAGCTTTCCCTACCCGCAGATAGCAAACCACAGGGAAATGAACCTTGGAGTGGAAGGGTCGAAAAATGGCACGGTCGACTATGGTGCTGTCGTCATCATGGGTACGATCGTTCCGCCCAACATCACTGTCTTCGGCCTCTACGTGGGTCTAGATGCGACTATCAATGGCACGTTAGACCTCGACGCATCTCTAACAGTATATCTTTGTTGAAGTGCACCCACATCCAGGCCTTAGCGTGTGAGGCATCTTGATATGCCGCCATAGAGTTCCTGTCTCTGTTTCATCCCCTGAACATAGGAATAACGGGCCGCTTCAAGACACGCGAGCAGACGGCTGAACCCATGTTCTATGAAGACACTCGGACGGACGGTGGTCGTGGCTGCCACAAAACACCGTGTCCTTCGGTTTCGTAATCATCATATGTGCTGTGTAATTCAACCCCCGGGCTCGCCATCCCTGTTTCTGTCACATTCCTACGCAGTGCAGTGTTTTCAGCTTGCCTGGTCTCTGACCTGAATGAGACAATCTATATATATACTAAACGCTGGGCGCTCGAGCGCTACAAGCTGGGAGCGGCTGCCCACGGACGCCGATAACTAGTACCGGAACTTTAAGTAGACAGAACCCGATCTTCAACTGCTATTGACTGCACAAGCCGTGCTCTACTCTTCATTCCAAGGGTGTCGCCATGCCTCACGACTCATCCGATGAATTCTGGACCGCCTCACAACTAGCAGACAGCAACTTGCTAGTGGATACTAACATGAACATCTCGAACGCGGATCTTGACTCGGATGCTGGCACTGTCAACTTGATGGACTCGATAGGCCCCGAAAATGGATCGAAAAGCTCATCAGGCTCTGAGGTAAGGATTCTTTACTCTTACTTCCAACACACAGTCACTCTCTGGCGATACTCAATGTTATACCCAGATGATGCTGTTCAAGTACTCAGCCATACCGGTGGCGGCGTGTGCCTACGCCACCCATCGGTACTACAGACGACGTTTTCCTCGCAGGTTACTTCCTCCCTTCACCTCCCTGAGGCTATTCGAACTATATGTGTTCATCACATCAGCGTTCATCGCCGCAGCGGATAGCGCCGAGCGACAAGTGGAAATCATGCGTGACGGAGATCTCCTCACAATCGATTTCATCGGTCGCCAAGTGGGGAGAGTGGCCATTCCCCTCCGCGATGGCTCCCTCAAGGCTCGAACTTCTTCGACAACACTCGATACTCTCAAGCGTATTCGTGAACGTGCGTCCATCTGACCGCCAGACCCGGCCGTGATTGACTTCTACTGCTCGATCTAGATCGTTACTACGACTCGGGCATATTCGGGAAGCTTGCATGGTGGCAAAACCATATCTGGTCTAGGGAAGAGACGTGGTACACGACAGCCTGGGTGCTGAGTTGTGATGCGCTAGACGCTCAAAAAGAATCGAGGCCCTTTCCTCAGAATTGGGATGACTGGGATGCTTGCATCACCTATACTGCCAACTGCACGGACCGTAGGGCAAGTTCATACCCATATCTTACTGACATTGTCTTGTCTTACCTGGTCTGCAGGACCATGCCTGGAAGCTCCTTGAAGCAGTCGGCTACTCAGTTCCCGCTGCCATGTTTGCGCGCTGGACGGGCCGTGCGCTCCTCTATAGACCCGTCAATTTCCTACAGAGGATACTTATTGGCGCATACTTCTACTGCGACTTTATGCGCCAGAATCAGCGGCTCGCGTACATACAGCAATTCCCCAACAAGGAACGCAATGCAACGTTCCTTCGGGCGTGCTTTGGCATAGACAAGGAGGACGCCGAAGTCGCAATGGCCACCGGAGAAATGCCTCCATTTTACATAGACTGACTGCTGGTAAGCTACAGTACATCGCTAGCTATAGGTTGTGATCGGCTGTCGGTACTCTCTATGCTTGGTCTCATCAGGAGGGGTTTTCAGAGCAGATCTGTTGCTTTATCCTCCAAGGCTTACAACACGCTATCCCAATATACGTCCGAGTCTTCTGTAAGACTACTTTGCGTAAACATCCCGCTCTTGTATGTCAGTGGAAATTCCAAGTCATTCGATGTACTAGTACGTTCAGCATTGATAAGATGAACTGTCCCCAAAATATACGTGAACCATTCGAGGAGATACTACAGACGATCGCGTCCAGGAAGACACCCATGGGGCCACTAGAGATCTACACATACCTAGCAATTTGCGCGATAATCGGTCTAGCACTACAGGTCGGGTTCACCATCGTTGATCACGAACAGTCCACACTCACGCTCAGAGTCGTCCGTGCGAATCGATGGCATTGCGGAAATAGATTTGGAGAGGTTTACTCACATGCAGGAGAATATCCCGTGGTTTCCTTACGTGGTCACGGACCTCGGGACGTTCGGACAGCATGGCATGCGAGTGCGTGTTGTATTCACGGTACATCCTATCGTACAACAATGGCCATATATCATCGTCAATCTCTTCATAATCTCCGTGTAGGCGTGAGGATTTGCTTCAGGTCACTGCCGCTACACTCATACTGGGACCTTTCCTGCGAGAGCCTCACGGGAGCAACTCAGCCAGTTCCTCGAACGAGTCAACGATGACATCGACCTCGCCGCCGTCCTGCTTGCTCTTCACCTGATCCTTCACACCGACATCTTCGGTGGGCCGACGTACGTAGACAGTCTTCAGGCCATGCGAAGCGGCAAAGCGAAGGTCGTAGATGTGGGCCGCGACCATCGCGCACTTCTCGGGCGTGATTCCGAGATGGTGCACGGCTCCTAAGTACGTCTTTGGGTTCCTGCGGGACGTGAGCGATAGCGAAAAGGCGATTGAGTGAGCGCACCACACTGGTCGGACGAGAACAGACTCACGGCTTGTAGGAACCGAGCAGTTCCCCGGAGAAGACGACATCCCAAGGAAGATTAGCGTGCTTGGCCTGGACAGATGATGGGTGAATAGCTGCACAGGTATTATAGGGGCAGTCAAGGTTCACCATATCGACGAGCAATCGCACGTTCCCATTGGACAAGGTGCCGATGATAGCCTTTTTCTTCAACGCGTACAGTCCTTGGCTACTATCCGGCCAACCTACGGAACAGTCAATTCTAGTGTTTCGGGAGAACCAGAAGAACAAACCATCTAGATTGTGCCAGAAGTGCACAAGTTCAGTGCGTTTGGCGTCGTCTAGGAGCGGAGCC